ATCGCTTCAACAGTCTCTGAATCCAAGTGCTTAAGTGACTTCCACCAGTTCACTGGTGTGACTTTCTTTAACACATCAGTAGTAAACATTTCTTATTCCCACACTGGGTGTCTCTTACAGCCTGCTGCCATTATAGGTTTTCCGTGCTAGTGACAGAATGCTTTGGTAGATCTCAAATCAATGAAGGCTACACTCAAAGACTTCTAGAAAATGCTGATCAAACAGTTTCACTTTTGTTTCTACTCCTTGTCCCTCCCTTCTCACATTTACCTCCAGACTTCTTCTCCAGAGCTATTCGGCCCCAAACAATCTTCTATTATTGAACTTTTTGAAGCTTTGCACTCTTAGAGAAGGGGTTGACTCTGTACACAAATTTGCAGAGCGACAATAGGGTTGAGATCTGTTATTTCTCACCTTTATATATTTAAAAACATTTTTGCTGTGAACAAGCATGTTATCTCTGGAGACACAAATCCACAGTTTGAGAACTGCAAAACTAAGCATCTCTGATAGTATTTTCTAGACTGAGACCCATTGGATAGATAGAAAGATTAACCTAAAGCTATACAGAAGCCCCTAGAACCACATAAGATTGGGTCCCTAATCCATGAACTATTGGAATTAATTTACAAAACTTAAACATTACATGAATAGATTCTCATACTATAGAATTAGACTTTACAATCCCTATTCCATGATGAGTTTAATTAATATAGCTTTTTCCTCAAAGCATTTTATCAAATCTGATTTAAATCAAGCTTTTTAAAATCCTGGCTTTTTATCCACCCTGATATAGTCTATAAAAGAATTTAGTAACATTTTACATGACTACAGTATTTTATTGTCATCTGATGTGGAATCTATCCTGTAAGCCTTCTTAACACTTTATACCATTTTTTTCCCCCACGTGTCTATTTGTATTCCTTAGTAATAGTCTGCTGCATGCCACATTTGTTCTGCATACAAATGGTGGCTGATCTTATTACTATATCAGAGAGAGGGGAGAAATACAAAAGGCATCTGTGCATGGTCATTCCCTGTGGGTCACCTGGCAGTGGCCACTGTTGGAAGGCAGGATACTGGGCTAGATGGACCATTGGTCTAACCCATGTGACAGTTTGTATAATGCTATCACTCCTCGGTGTTTTGCGTACTTTTGTCCTTGTTCGTTGGGCATTACAGGAAAAAAGCTGTGCTTGAAGCTGTAAGCAGAACAATCGAGAACTGAAACAGGAACTCTAGTGTTAACTACTGTACTAACTCTGTGGCACATATTAAATGTGGAACTGTTTATCAGGAGCTCCTGACAAACACCCCCACACTGAGGGTGGTGGCGTGTGTGGGGGGTTTTTTTTTTGCATGGTTCTTTTGTGGCCTAAACTTTATAGTGGCGTTCTAATGTTCTGAGACACATGGGTCTTTTGAGAATGAACAGACCCTTAAAAAGGCATGACTCTTACAAATAAAGAGCATGTGTTCTTGTGGCTTAGTTTCAGTGTCTTCTGCCATGTCTCTCTACACTATGGAAGTACACCATGGCTTGTTCGGGAGTACTAGTATAACCAGTCCTAACTGAATTATCTACTCCCCCTGTATCTCCACAGACAGGGATGAAAGCCTGGCAGATTTAGGGGAGTTGTGTGGGAGGACTGCCAATACCATTTCCCTGGCACTACAGATGTCTGCCTGTGGAGAAGCAGGATGGGTGGGTCTTGGTGTGACAGCTGCTTTCTCTTCCAACCCCATGTGATTTGGCAATAAATGTTTACCCTGCCAACTAATTCAGGGTTCTCTGCAGTGGGGAAACCCTGCCCTGTATGTGGGACAATGGCTTGCCCTACAACGCCCATGTGGTGGGCATGACCTTGGCACAAATAGCCCAGTTCTAAATGATCTACAGCCTACGTGTCTTAGGAGTGACCGGCTGAAACCCCCTGCCATTTTGGTGCAGGTGAGGAAGGAAACAGGTACAAATGCCAGCTATAAAGACAACACTATGCTGCAAATTTGTTTATGCCTCTACATTTTAAATCCTTTGTAGGGGGTGGGATGACACACTACATATTGTATAGCAATATGTACACTAGAATCTGATCCTGCAGAAACACATGTTTAACTTAATCTCATTAACAACACCACACAAGTTACTTGTGTGCTTAAAGTGACAAATATGTGCAAGTGTCTGCAGGATTTGGGGCCTTAGGGATACATAAATTCCTAACCTTTTTCAAGGTTCTCCTAAGAGTTGGCCACTTTAAAATCTAACAGTCCTGTGGCACCTTTAAGACTAACAGATGTATTGGAGCATAAGCTGTCCCACATCTGACTAAGTGGGTATTCACCCATGAAAGCTTATGCTCCAATACATCTGTTAGTCTTAAAGGTGCCACAGGACTCTGTTGCTTTTTACAGATCCAGACTAACACAGCTACTCCTGATACTTTAAAATCAAGTAATATTTCAAAATGGACTAAAGTAGCTGCAGATATTCCATTTTACTCAGTCTTCCCACCTACAAACACAATTTTTAACTCTTCAGTATTTTTCTGTTGCTATGTGGAAGATGCATCCAAACAGGGGTAACCTAGATTAGAGACAGAGCTGTCAAATCAGTGAAGTAATCAGTGAAAAATTTGTTACAAACCTCTCAAACTATTTAGTTGACCATCCTTTTTATTTTTGTATCTAGTACCTGAATGCCTATTATCCAAACTGGTGAATGTGGTAGAGAAACAAAGCTGTAGCTATCTAAATTATTACAGTAGAATCTCTAATTCATTACAGCCCACATTGTCTGGATCCTTCTCATGAAGGGGATGGTACACTCACAAGTATTCAAAAGCCTTTTTGGGGTGGCTTTAAGAACTGCTTTCTTTTCCAGAAGGGAAAGAACTCCAGCCTAGATTATTAAAGTGGAACAGTGGTATGGCTATTTGGGACTTAATTTTTTTATTTGGATTATCTTGTTCTTGTAGGCTGTACAAGATTCAAGCCCTAAAAAAATGGCATTAGTAGCAGCTGACTCACAACAGGTATGTATGAGTTGACAATCAGTCAGTCTTTGTCACATAGCCAAGAAGGATGTGAGTTTAAACTTCTCTCTCTGTTTACACAGAATGTGGTAGCCAGGGTTGTCAACCTTCCCTTGGTGAGTTCCACCTATGACATGGTGTCCTCTGCTTATGTCAACACAAAAGATAACCATCCCTATCTGAAATCAGTATGTGAGATAGCTGAGAAAGGAGTGAAGACCATCACTGCAGTGGCCATGACAAGTGCTATGCCTATCATCCAGAAGCTGGAGCCACAAAGTAAGGCATGACTCCACTTTACTTTTCTGTGCATTTGTTCAACTATTCCATTGAGTTCAGATATAAATATATAGGCTTTTTTGGGGGAGGTGTTGAAAAGAATCTGGGGGCACTATGAGTTAAACCTACTTGTAACAAGTTAGTGACAGCAGAAAAACTGTTACCTTGCTTTGTGCAATAAGCCATGAGCAAGTGTAATTAAATGAGCTTTTATAAATAAAGTCAAGCAAGTTCTGGATCTCCTAAGATTAAACATCTAATGACTTGTTCCCAACGAACATTGATTTCTAAGATTATTGCTTGAGTAAGAAGCCTCTTGCTCAACTTCTGTCCTAACCCTTCACCCAGTTTTGAGCTCTGCATCATACTTCCCTTTCACCTACTTCTGAGTAAAACTTGCAGTTACAAATTTGGCAACTGTTTCATGGCTGCTTGCTCTGGTTTTAGCTCAGCCTATTAAGAATTGGCAAAGGGCCAGGAAATATTTCATCAGTCTGTTCTCAAGGTCACTTCCTTGAAAGATATGTCAATTGTTTTTTCACTTGCAAAGCACTTGAAAGCTGTTACAGAATTAAGCTGCATGAACTTTTTTCCTTACTCCTTTTAAGGAAGAAACTAAACAAAATGTTACTTGTTTGGACTGGGCTTCTTGTTTCAACAAATGTTAACCTTTAGCTTTGTATGTAGGGTGTTTTTAAACATCACAAGGGCAACTTAATCATTCTTGACACTTCTCTAGTTGCAGTTGCCAACAGCTATGCATGCATAGGACTGGACAAAATTGAAGAGAGGCTGCCTATACTATATCAACCAACTGACAAGGTAGATTCAATTACTGCATTTAAATCTCTAAGTGGGACAACCAGAGATTTAGTAATTCCTGGAGTAGCAAGGCTAGGAGCAGAGCACAATGTTGAAAATTTGGAACCTTGGATTTCTCCCGGACACCCTATGGCCTTTGGAGTCACTTAGTGCCTTCTCTTCCTCCCTCCCCCACCCCCAGGTGTGAGTATCCATAACTCCAGCTGAAGTCAGTGGCTGCATGGCACTATTGTAATTCAGGCCCTCCATCTGTTTCCCTCTCCCACTTAAATGGAGGTAATACTTTCCTGACTTACCAGAGCAATATAAGGGTTAAAGTTTTTGTAATGCTTCAGATATCAAAGCACTATAGAAATGGCTTGTATGTAATTTAAGTAGAAAGCTTCCATATTAAACTTATGTTAAAATGACTTGAACACACTTCCTATAAAAACATTTTCTATAACTTAAAAATGAGCTCTAACTGGAGAACCAACTATGAAGTGAAAGTTTGTAGCTTTCACTATTCATTTGGGTGGAAAGGAAAACTAAGTAGTGAATTTATAACTTGTCTACATATTGCTATAGTGTCCAAGGGTTCCATTTAGTATGAGGGCCAGCCCCATTGTGCTAGGTGCTGGTCAAGACACGACCGTCACTGCTCAAAGAGCTTAATCTAACCTACTTCCCAGTGGTTTAGCATACTGCAAAGTAGGAGGATCTACTTTCATCCATTGCTACCACGTGAGTACAATGAAAGAATACCTTTTGTGACTGAGAGCTCACTGTTTTTGTGTTCAAATTTTCATTACACAGTCTCTTACAAGAGAAATCTTTCAACTCTTAACACTGCTGCCTTCTAGCCTGAAGTCTTTCAAGGTCTTCTAATAAAGCTAATCTCCTGGCTCTCTCTTCATATTGAGTTACTGTCCTTCCTTAAGGTAGCTGGAAGCTTCTTTGCAGGGATTTGTGTTTTGGTTTGGGGGAATTAGGGGGCCTGTCATCAAGTAGTCTCCTGTATGGTGCTACCAGATGGGCCACATAGCTGGGTTCCTGTCTATTGTGCTACTTGGGTTCCTTTTGGTAATGATGCTTCAGTACTACCTGGAAGGTTCTCTAGATATGGAGAGAGACAAACCATCTATGACCATTTATACCACCAGGTCATAATTAGGCTATCTCTACTAAAATCCACTGTAGGAAGACTAAATCTTCCTAACCCAAAGGACTCTTGATCAGAACAGGGCATTAACACCTGGTCCCTCTAAAGAGTCACAGGTTAGGCACACAACTTTTTGGAAGTCTTGTTCCTTAAGGAACAAGTCTCATTTTTTCCTATCCTACTCATTCTAGGCTTGCATCAGTGTAAACTACTAATCCACTTTGTGGTGGAAATGCCTCCTAATGCTGACTGAGTAGCTGTAGGTTTCTGCTTGTTATGACAGCCAAAATTCTATCACTGTAGTGAATGCCTCTTAAAGAATCCTGAAACCAGCTATACTAAACATTAGTTCTCTACTTTTGGAAAATGTGTATAAATCCAGAACTTAAATACCTCCCCACTATTAAATGAGGAATCTGCCTCTCTTCCTTGCAGGTGGTTGCCAATGCCAAGGATGTAGTTGTTGGTGCAAAAGATGCTGTAACAATCACTGTGACTGGTGCCAAGGATACTGTTGCCCATACAATTACTGGAGTCATGGACAAGACTAAAGAAGCTGTGCATGACAGTGTGGAAATGACCAAGTCAGTTGTCAATGGCAGCATTAACACTGTCCTGGGAAGCCGTGTGGTGCAGATGGTGAGCAGTGGGGTGGATAGCGCACTCAGCAGGTCGGAGACTCTTGTAGACCATTATCTTCCACTTACTGAAGAGGAGCTAGGTAAGACTACTTGAGATGACCCTAACTGGGGATGAGGATTGGGAGTCGGAGAGACAAGCAGTGTCACTTGACAACCTTACTAGTTGAATGGAGTGGCACTGTATTGACACTAATCTCAGACATGGCCCTTCACCATGCCAACCATGATCCCTTCTTGTCAGCAGGGAAGGCATATGAAGGAAAGTGATATTTGGAATGAAGGGGTAGGTTTTTGCCCCATCCAGATACATGTTGGACTGCCATGTAATCCTTCAGAGGCTGGACTGCTAACCTAACTTTTAGTCAGTCTAAACTAACTAACTTTTCTCTCTAGCAAAAGAAACTACAAAGGTTGAAGGATTTGAAGCTGGAGTTCAAAAGCCAAGCTACTACATTAGACTTGGATCCTTGTCTTCAAAGGTCCGCAGCCGTGCCTACCAACAGGCCTTAATCAGGGTTAGAGATGCTAAGTACAAAAGCCAAGAGACCATTTCACAGCTCAATTACACTGTTAATCTGGTAAGTTAACAAGAATTCTGATTTGAGGTGTGTGAAGTGTAAATGCAAAATCTCTTGGTAGTCTTTTATCTTAGAACTGTTGAACATGGATAACTTAACTAAAATTGTTTCACTAATTAAATCAAAGGTTCTTAATGGTACAAAACACATCCATTATCTTTTAAGTTCTCATCTCTTACACTAAAACAGATTCAGTCTCCACTCCCAAAATAAGATTGCATCTGTTTTGCAAGGCTAATAGGAAAATGTACTTGTAATACTGGCTGCTGTCTAAAGGACCAGCTTAGATCCTAAAGTGAAGAATGTCTTGCAGTTCTATTAAAATCCTACTCAATTCCATTAGTAGAGTAGGATTCTTCAAAAGTTAGTCATAGCAAGATTTAAAGTTGGAACTACTTGTTCTTGCATGCTCCTGCATTGTTAGAATCATGCAACAGAATACTCCTCATTCTCAGTCCTGGTATACCGTTTCTCATTTCTTTCTAAGACCTGTACATTACTTCAACACTTGCACATGATACGACTAGAAAACAAGAGGAAGGCAGACTTTTCTTCCCCCCCCCCTCCCCACCCCATCACTCTAAAAATGTCCTTTCACCCAACAAAATGGTCCCTCTGCAAAAAAGTCACTTCAAGAGTGGGAGGGCTAGAGAACATTTATAATCACCCTAAACTGTTTAGGATCCTTGCTTCACTACCTCATTGGTTGTTTTCTAGATTGAGTATGCCAGAAAGAACATGAATAGTGCCAACCAGAAACTTCATGATGCCCAGGAAATGCTATATCAGTCCTGGGTAGAATGGAAGAAAAACACAGGCCAAAATGATGGTGATGACTCTCACAGTGCTGAGGTAAGTAAATGTACCAAGTGTATAAATGACATATTACAAAGTATATACATACAAGTAACTTTTTTGTCCTTGTTTTCAAAATATTCATGGAACATCCTATGCTGCCAAGATGCAGTACAAGCATGAAGAACCTGAATGGTGTCTCGCCCCTTCCTCCTGCTGCCCCCATTGCTCTGCAAAATTTAATTAAATTTAGCTCTGTGGTGGCCAGCGTAAGTAATGACTTGGTTATTGGCACCAGACATAATTAGTGATGCAAGCTAATTGGCTATGCGTATTGTGTTCATTTCAACAAATTAGTTTAACTAGATGCAGATGTTTCCTAGAACCCTAAACATCATTGCAGTAATGGCCTAATGCAGTAACTGGGTGCCATTTTCTACTACATTCTCCAAATGCTGCTATAATTTTAGCAGTCAAGCTTTGGCATACTTATTGCAGCCTCATATATTTTTTTTTTAGAGAATTAAAAAAAATTAATTGGCCTTTTGACCTCTCTACTCAGCTGCCATGACCTACTGTCCAGATAGTTTGAGCCTGTGAGTCTATTGCTAGGGGATAAGCTACTTGCTCTCCCACACCTAGTCAGGCATTCAGATCTGTCCTGGACATCTTTTCATCTAGCTTATCTTTGGAAGGTCAGAACAACTTGGGTGGGACTGACAATGCAATTTTTTCTTTTCCCTACCCTGCCAGACTATTCCCTCTCCTCCCAAGCCTCTTAGCAGGATTGGTTGCTAACTGCACAAATGCAGTAATTGATTAGCTGAACTTAAAATGCTATCTCATAAGTGCTTGAATCTTTAAGCTGGAAGCATTAACTGTTTCACTAAAATCAAGTGAATTATTGAGCTTGTACTACAGTACAGTTAGCTGAGACAAGGAACAGCCAGACCTCTTCTATACATGACCTGTAGTGCACTTCAGAGACTTGCAGCCTTCAAGGGTTCATGTAACCTGGGTCTGTCAGACATGTTTTCAAAAGCAAGGACCCTAGTAAACTCCTTCAAGCCAACAGCTTCATAGTTTTCTTTCTATGAAATGAAGGCCCTGCTCTCATCTGCCACAGCTTCAATTCTCCATCTCCCCTTCATTCCATGGTGTGAGCTTTCAGCAACAGTACAGTTGCTGCAGTGACCAACTCTCTGGTCAATGAAATGCTTAACTCTAAAGTGCTATTATGCTTTGTTTCCAGCACATTGAATCACGCACGCTAGCTATTGCACGGAGCCTGACTCAGCAGCTTCAGACCACTTGCCTCACCCTGGTGTCAAGTATACAGGGGTTGCCGCAGAACATTCAGGACCAAGCCCATCATGTTGGGGCAATGGCAGGAGACATCTATAGGAGTTTCCACTCTGCTTCATCTTTCCATGAAGTATCAGATAACCTTCTCACCACTAGCAAAGGACACCTGAAGAAAATGAAGGAGTCTCTGGATGATGTGATGGATTATCTTGTTAACAACACACCACTCAACTGGCTGGTAGGTCCCTTTTACCCACAACTGGCTGGGTCTCAGCATGCTGAGCGCAAGGGTGAAGGGGAGAAAAATGCCAGCCAGGAGGACAAACAGCCTGAACACAGCACAGATTAAATTGCATAGCACACACATACTCTGCAGTCTGAGCTAACAAGGTGACTTAACTACTGTAGCTGTCGGGTGACCTATGGGGAAAATATCCACAGTGTGGGGATGGTGGAGGCCTAAAGATATGAATGTGTCCTTTCTCCTCTAAGAGAGGAACTTTCATTAGAAAAATGATTTTGCTGTCCTAAGTGCCTCTGAAAATAATGACCAGCATAATGTGCCTTGAGGCTTGAAACTCCAGCAGCTTACAGCAGTGGTTCACCTTGTTTAGTTACCTGGTTAAGAAGCCTCTTGTCTGACAGCTAAAGTGTCCAGTATCAGACCTTAAATGGAACTCATTGCAGCCAAAAACTGACTAGTCTGTGACCTGTGCAGGAAAAATATAAAAGTAGTATGATCTCATTTGGCACTCCATTTAAAAGTCCTGCAGCTCAGCAAGAGAACTTTATCAAACTGCCACTGATGTTTTGGTATCACGAATTGTGCACTTGGCTATGATGACTCAGACTGTACAATTGTCTTAATCACCTCATTGGACAGGTCACACAAGCATAATGCCTTAATATGAATCTACTTGCTTTGCTTTCAAGTAAGGCTTCTAACTTGTTCAGCCAGTTATTTAAATGCTCTGAGTTTTCATTGCTCTTTTTTAAATCTTTTTTCTAAAAAATCCTTATTTAACTACCCAATAAATCAACTAAAACCAGTACTGAGAATTAAATCTGCAGTGTGGAATATGAACACATGTTTGTACCAGGGTGCCTAGTCTCATGTGTCTTTGTAGTGCTTTTTCACCTTTTTTTGTAATTCATTTTGTATGTTCAGTAATAAATGCTTCAGCAGCCAAAGTCTGTCTCATTTGAATGGTGTAAAAACTAACATTTTAGCACTTCCTTATTAAATACTGTGACTCACTGTCTTGTTAAATTGAATTGGGTCCAGGAGAAGGCAGGCTTGAAATGCAAACAAAGTAGATACAAACTACTGGTTACTAACCCACATCAGATGCATTACACATAGAGATGGGTCAGATGTTGCTGCTGCATTTGTTTCCTACCCATGAGTCCCCATCCACCCTTCCGCTCCCTCTTAGCTTTATTCCAGCTTGTCTGTGCTTATTGTCTGCCTTAGTGAAAACTTGGACTGTAGAAATGACTGCTCAGTAATGTAAAGGAGGTGGTCTGTGCAGGATGGCCTGGACAGATGTTTGTCCTGCTTGCAGTATGGGCATTCTTGCATGTGACTTCTAATACCTACTGCATGGGCAGTCCTCCCTCTGCAGCCAATATACTTTTAGTTTGAAAAATCAGAACTGAAAATAGATGGCTGTTTTGTGTGGTGTCTTTTTATAATCAAACATGCATTTGAAACTACAAAGACTTGAAACTTAATCACACTACTTAATTTGCTTATTACATGTGCTGCATATTGTACACTGGGGAGAGAAATGGAATTTTAAAAAATTCTGATCATGTACTAATGAACACTAGTTAATTATTCTACCCTAGGTCAAGCTTGGACTAACCAGTTCAGCATCTGGGCTCTCCCTATTGGCACAACTAAAGCCTCAAACCACTGCATATCCACTATTGGAAATGAGGATGGCTCTTTTGTGCCATGCTGCAGTAAAGCAACCGTTTAAAGATGAAAATCAAAGTGGCTAGTGAACTCAGTGACTAGTGGGCTGAGGCTGTTGGAAGAGACCTTCATGCTTAATGAATGGGCAGTTAAGATGTTCAAGCTTCTGGGTTAATAGCATCCTACCAAATTCATGGTCCATTTTGGTCAATTTCACAGTCATAGGATTTTTTTAAATAGCTGAAATTTCAGTGTTGTAATTGTAGGGGTGGGGGAGTCCACAAGGTTATTGTAGGGAGGGTTGCGGTATTGCTACCCTTACTTATGCACTGTTGGTGGCAGCAGCAGCATTGCCTTTGGAACTGGGCGGCTGGAGAGCGTCTGCTGCTGGCCGGGAGCCCCGCTCTGAAAGCAGCAGCACAGAAGTAAGGGCGGCATGGCATGATATGGTATTGCCACCCTTACTTCTGTACTGCTGCTGGCAGGGCATTGCCTTCAGAGCTGGGCACCCAGCCAACAGCTGCCACTCTCCAGCTGCCCAGCTCCAAAGGCAGCACAGAAGTAAGGGTGGCAATACTGTAACCCACCTAAAATAACCTGTGCGCCCCCCACACACAACTCCCTTTGGTCAGGACCCCCAATTTGAGAAACACTGATCTCCCCTGTAAAATCTATATAGTACAGGGTAAAAGCACACAAGACCAAATTTTTATGGGGGAGACCAGATTTCATGGCTCATGACACTTTTTTTTTTTTTTTTATGCCCATGAATTTGGTAGGGTGCTAGTTATTAATAGTGGACTTGAGTATTCTAATGGATTTGTTTTTAAATGTACCATGAGATAGGGACTGATTTCTGCTGTTCCCTTTAACCTGTATTTTACCTTGTAAAATCTCTAATCTTAGGTTTTGGGGTGGGTTTTTTTTTAATTATTTTACAAATGTAAGTAGGACTGTGGATACTGGAACAACTGTTGGTAGCTCAGATAACCTCCTGCATTCTCCCTTATTGTTGGCTTGTGGTTATCCGTGGAGAACAAAGTCCTAATTCAAACGAAGGCACTCCCAAGCTGCTGTAACTTAAATATTGAGGGACCAAAAAGGTGCAGGAGGAAAAGCCAACTAACAGGAGGTTGTAAGTTAAAGTAGGAGTCATAGTGCCTCCTGTTGGACCCTCTTCTGGGCCTTTTGGCATCGTAAGTTACACACCAGCTTAGACTATGGGATGAATTCAGAGGATGTGTAAGGAACTATAGCACACCATGAATGAGCAAGTCTGTCTGTATAACTTACTTGCTGAAGAGACTTGAAGGTGTGGAAAATCTAAAGCAGCTTAGATCTCTGAATTGGCCCTAAACTTTCTCCATGGTAAATTGACAGTTTAAGAACTCCTTTAAAACAAAAACAAAAAACCCACTTTTTTTATGCAGAAGCCACACAATGGCGTTTCATGATCAGTTGAAATGTGAGTTGGTGGTAGAGGATTATTAGTAAAAGCACTTGTGGCTACAGTAGCTAGGACTGAGGACAAATGGGTTGTAGTACTAGACTGGGGTAGTCATTTGGACCATAGGCCAAATCCACACTGAACAGACTGCAAAATCTTATTTACTTAACATTATTGTTGCAGTGGGAGATGGCTTTTCTGTAGTTTAGACCCTGACTATACCTTGATCAAGAAATTTGGACTTTAACAAAAAATAGACTATCCCTGTGCTAGACTCCATCCAAATGGGTGCTTGTGAAAGCATGATGCTGTCCGTTCTCCCAGCCTGAGCACAGAGGCAGCCTTGGGCAGTAGAGGGAAGACTAAGAAACCAACTGCTCCTCCCAGGTAGGCTGAGATATTCAGGATTGAATTTCCAAATGTCAGCTGTTTGAGGCTGGTGGGTCCCTGGGAGTGGAGCTCTTGAGCAGCCCTGCTCAGCCCTTCTCCTGAACCAAAAGACTGAGCAAAAGTATTCAGGTGACTTGCTGACCTCTTTCCAAGAAGGTGAGACTTGCCACCTGAGGAAGAGCTCAGAAAAGGTCTCCAGGAAGAGACAGCTACTACAGGATTAGGAGTAATTTCCTTAGATAAATAGGGAACTGAGGTCAAACAAGTGGATATTCTGGGTTCTGACCTTTGCCCTCATAATTGAAGGGGAGCAGTGTGGGTCACAAATGCTAGTTAAACTGAATCAAGCAACTTATTCAGCTCTTTCCTTGAGAGACAGTAGCTGTCTGTATACAGATGTTCCCTAAGCAGCCCCTGCTCCTGTCACATGACTCCAGCTGTGCCTAAGCTCCCATTAGATAGCTCTAGTGCTAAATTACAACACCTAGTGCAGATGCATCTGTGGGCTGGTCCGTGATTTGACTTTATCCATATTTGCCTGCTAAACCATTTTGGTTGAAGTAACATTGTACTGTATTTGCTATGGGACTACTTTGAAGCTATAGACTAAAAGCATAATAAATCTTCAAATGGGAAGAATCTGTACAGCACTTAAAGCCTGGGTAAGAATAGAAGAAGCTGTTCATATAAATGTCTAACTTTTTTTTTCTTTTTAAACTTTCCTCACCATGCTTGCATAATGAATAGCTCAACCGCACTTTGTAGAAACTCTCCACTCTACCATCAGCCTGAGAATAAACATGAGATTTCATACTTTTTTTAAACATTGTTTGTGGTTTGATAGGTCATTACACAATGTAATGTGATTGCAGTGACACAATGATTAGTGTGGGTGGGGGAGAGATACTGTTTTAGCCCTACATCTGAAACAACCAGAGGCTCTTCTAGATGTGGGAGGAAAACAAAAAACCAAACCACTATACATCTCAGCTATTGATTTCTGCAGTCAGCTTCACCTCATAACTTCCTTTCCTATACACTGACAATCATTTTGTAAGCTACCAAAGTCTTAAATATACTGATTTATAAACAAGTACACTGACCCCTAGAATAAAGTGTTATAAAGTAATAATTGGTAAAGTTAAGCCTCGCTTAATTGTAATGCAAGATCTTTGACAGAAAGATGAGCCTGACTGACTCTACACCCACTTTTAGATACTGGTTACTTCTACTTCAGGTTTTTGGTCTAGAATAACCATTTAAGGTTCCAGAAAACACTTGTACCCTGCAATGCTTTTCTACTCCAAAAGTGAATACTTAACCTGAGGAAGTTAAGTTCTGGAATCTGTACTTGGATATTATTACAAAATATGTCACTACTTTACACAGTGCTCTCTGGAACAAAGAGCTTTCAGTTTCCATAATACCATAGTGACAGCTTCTCTGGGGGATCAAGATGGGTTGGAACACATTCTACTCTCAGCAGACTATCTTAATAAAACACGTGTTGGTGCTCTTTAATATTATTACTGATTACACCAGGACTCTCAGGTTCCATAATGCATTGACTGCTTACAGATCTTTTTTTCCCCCTATATGAGCTGGAAAAAATTGCCAAAAAGTCTCATCCACAAAAATGAGGACCCATATTCTAACCTGCAATTATCAATTAATTTTGTGGATTGCTTTCTCCATAGAGTATTAAACTCAGGCACTGCAGTGCTTGTTGTTTTAACATCTGGTCAGTAGTATTGTGAATACTCAATTAAAGATTGATATCTGTTCTGAATTTATTAGTTTTGAAACTTCTTAGATTGAAACTTGAGGTTTTTTTTGAAGTTTTCAGTCTCTTAGATGCATGCAAATAAAGGCAGAATCCATGTGCTAAAACTGTAAAGTAAGGAACTGCTTTTCTATGCTGATTGTATGTAGTTCTGTTTCAAAAGTCTCTTCCTAGCCCCCACATTTTTCTTACTAAAGTTACAAAATACACATTAAATTCTAATAAGACAGTGGCTAAATGTACATATCACTAGAGTACAGTTTAACTTTTTATGGAGTAAAGTAACTTAATAGAGAACATAACTAGTGTTGATGGAGGGGGAAGGGGTGCAAGAGACATTTTACCTGGCTTTTTTGGTCATAATCACACAAAAAATTAGGATTACATGTTCTCCCATTCCCCATCAAATATGAAACAACTGATCTATAAGGGCAAATACAGAGGTGATGTAGAAGTTAGACACTCTTACATTAAAGGCTTATAATTGGTAGGGGCTTATGCATTGATCTATATGGGGGTTTGTATAAATGTGCTCCACTGGTGCAACTTACCAGATTCAGAATAAAGATAAATCTGATGCAAACCCTGTTGGCTGACATAGTGCATTTACACAGGGTTTGCAGCTGGTGTAGCAATCGCTAATATTAATAGGCCCTAATTTAGAGTCCCTTAGAGCTACTTACATCCATTCTTTTAACATCTAAAGGAGTTTAAGTGCAAGTAACTTGACAAGGTGGCTGGAGAAGGTGTAAATGACTGACTCCAATGTAGACTCCCTTAAATATGAGTATAGTGGGTAGAAGTAGTTCTGCAGGAGTTTATTGTAAGTCTAAGGCTATGTCAACACTGCGCATCTTACAGTGGCACAGTTGTACTGCTACATCTGTGCCACTGTAAGGTACTCCATGTAGCTCCTCTGTCGGCAGGAGAGAGCTCTCCTACCAACAAAATAAAACCACCTCCAATGAGGGGTGATAGCTTTGTTGGTGAGAGAGTCTCCCCCACAGACAAAGCGCTGTCCACACCGGTGCTTTTCGTCAGGAAAACTTTTGTTGGTCAAGGGTGTGTTTTTTTCACACCCCTGACTGGCAAAAGTTTTACTGACAAAAGTGCAGTGTAGACATAGCCTAACTTACGTATCGCCTCCACATTTGACTCCTGATATCTTGGTTACATTGTTTTAGATTTCCTAGTCCGTTACTAGTGTGGCAAGGAGTGCTATGTCTAGATCCTGAAAGTATACAGAGTTATTTTAAATGTGTTACTATGTGGAGTCTTTCTTACTATGTGGATGTTTTGTGCAGCAGGGTGCAGAGTAATTTCTGCCAATAGAGGGATGGAGCCTCATTCTTGCTGCCATCTGAAGTCAGTGGGATTAATGCTATTGATCTCATTAGAAGATCAAGCTCTATCTAAAACTAGTCAATGGCTGCTGTAGGCCTTTATGCTGCACTCCTCATGCTAAGTGTCATCATCCCGGGGCTCAAGCAATGTCTTTTGAAATCCAGTTTTATTTTACTGGAGGCACTCATCTCTCTGGAGCCCTGTTCTAGATTCCCTACCTGTAAATCAACTTCCGAGCCAGAGCTCCACAATCTAGAGAGGTTGCTGAGTAAT